TGCTCCTGCTGGAATCAGTTATTTTATACTAGGCCAAATGCATCCGATTCAAGCTGGTTGTTTACTGCACATTTGCAGGTTGTGCAGCATGATTGTCATGTTCATAGTGTGGGTCTGTTTTCCTGCAGGTGCGAGACGAGATCGAGCACTTTGGGATTAAAGTGTATCAGTTTCCTGAGTGTGACTCTGATGAAGAGGAGGAGTTCAAACAGATGGACAAAGAGCTGAAAGTCTGGCAAACACATCTCATAAGTCATTTTAACTAAATCTCCAAACACACTTCTAAATATCCGAATGAATTTGAATGAATTTCACTCCGTTTGGGTTGATTTTACTCACATGATGGACTTTTTACAGCTGCCAACAGCTGGAGGAGTGAAGCTTGTCTCCTCTTATGTGTCTTATGCGTGTGTGTGTACTGTAGGAGTGCACTCCGTTCGCTGTCATCGGCAGTAATACAGTGGTGGAGGCCAGAGGTCAGAGGTTTAGAGGTCGTCTTTACCCCTGGGGCATCGTGGAAGGTCAGTATCCTTAAGCCGGAAACGCTCTACACAAGTACACCAAAACAGACATTAACGCTTGGCAAATGGATTGTGCATACTTATAGTATGTTGAAATTTCTACAGAATGTCAAAAGTGTCGTGATGATAGGGCTGGGCGATAAACAATATCATACATGGACATTTTTACTCTGATAGTTCATTTCACAAGCTTTTCACTGGTTCACTATTTCAGTTTTATGATGTAGTTTGTCCCTATACTAACATACTGGACATTATTAGCCAAAACAACACTACACACACTACAGAAGCATGCACTTTATCATCATTAGCACAGTGCATACTTGTTCATATGTAGTATATAGTAGTGCAGCTCAAAGAACTCAAACAGAACAGCATAATGCTAGCAAGTCAACAACTCACTGATTCAATGATCAAGTCTAAATGAGCCAAGAACCGGCTCATTGAATGCGAGCGTGACTGATTACGCAAAAAGTGAGTTACTAAGGCCAAATTTGAATATTGATTATTGTAAATGAAAATCACATTTAAGCCATGACTGTCAGGAATTTGTCAACTGAATCTGCGAGTTGTAATATGAAAACTAGTATATTTGCATAGCATTCTTATTAAAATGTTAACACATTTTTGCCCCATGTGACATCTGTACATTTTATTTTTATACAATTTGTTATCAACATATTTGCAATTTATTTTTAAATACTATATAGTATATTATTATTATCCCTTGTTTGCACGCTTGAATAATCAGTAACTTAAACTGATATATTAGTGTTGGTATAAACTTCAAATTTCGATAACGTATAATAAGTTTTGGTAGAAAATCAATGCATATTAAATGTGTGCACTAATCTTTCATACTAGTGCTGACTATGACTAGTCTGACGAGTGCTGGCTAGAATAAATAATTAACATGGTTTAACGATCATTATATTTTTACTTTTAATACTTAAGTACATTAAGTACTTTTGTACTTTTACTGGAGTAATATTTTATTAGGGTATCTGTACTTTTACTCAAGTACTTGATTTGTGTACTTCGTCCACCACTGTGTAAATGTAGAGGTATGTAAAGGTATGTGTGTTCATGACAGTGAACTCTATGGCATTTCTATGTGTGTGTTGTTCAGTGGAGAATCAGTCTCACTGTGACTTTGTGAAACTGAGGAACATGCTGATTCGCTCTCACATGCACGACCTGAAAGACGTGACGTGCGACGTGCACTACGAAAACTACCGAGCCCACTGCATCCAGGAGATGACCAGGTGTGTGACATTCACAGAGTGATTAACGTTTGTTTGTTGAACTTTCCAGCATAGATGTGGTTCGTATAATGCACGTTTGTGTTTGTGTGTTTCAGTAAACTTGCGCAGGATAACCATACGGACAGTCCACTACCCATCCTGCCTCTGCCCACACCAGACGTGGAGACAGAGAAACTCATCAAGATGAAGGATGAAGAGGTACAAAACGATCATCACTGATATTAAACCAGCACTGAGAAGTGTGTTGTAGTGACGCTAGTGTTATTTTACTGTCATTGAGATACTATTATTGCTTTTATTCATATTTTGAATTAGTATTTATTTTTATATTTTCTGTTTTCATTTTAATTTTAGTTCAACTTTTAGTAATTTTGTTGTTTGTTCTTGTCATTTTTTTTATTATATCTATTTATATTTTTTATCTATATATTTTTTTTTCTTCATTTTTGCTTCATATTCTTCAAATAAGGAAATACACAAGCAATTTATTGTAAAGTAGCCATGCTGCTATGTCAAATTTAGGTAAAAAAACTAAATTACTAAACGGTTCAAAAATGTGTGGTTAGAAAAATGCAAAAACTGTAAAAAAAAAAACAAAACAAAAAAAACTTTAAAACAGTAAAATTGTGAAATATTATTACAATTTAAAATGACGGTTTTCTGTCAATGTTAAAATGTAATTTATTTCTGTGATCAAAGCTGAATTTTCAGCATCATTACTCCAGTCTTCAGTGTCACATGATCTTCAGAAATCATTCTAATATGCTGATTTGCTGCCCAAGAAACATTTCTGATTATTATCAATGTTGAAAACAGATACTGCTTCATACAGTATTTTTGTGGAAACGGTGATACATTTTATTTTCCTGGATTCTTTGATGAATAGAACGTTCAAAAGAACAGCATTTATTTGAAGTAGAATCTTTTGTAACATTCTAAATGGCTTTACTGTCACATTTGATCAATGTAATGAATTGACTTGCTGATTAAAACTATTAATTTCTTTCAAACAAAAAAGAATATTTTTGACCCCAAACTTTTGAACAGTAGTATAATTGATGTGAAATCAAGCTTTAAAATTAATGCACAGTAGAAAAGAGACAACTTGCATAGAAAAGGTGTTTTTCTGGCAAGAGAAAATGAGATATGGGGATAAAAAAAGGCATGTTGATATTGTGCATTTCAGCTTTTTCACCAGTGTAAACTACAAGAAAGTTACAATGACATTTTCCTGACTGTGTGTTGTTTTGTATGTGCAGCTGAAGAGAATGCAGGAGATGCTGGAAAAGATGCAACAACAGATGCATGAGAAAGACCAGTGATGCTGACACACACACACACACACACACACACACACTACAGCCCTCAGATGTGAATGCATTTAAATGATACTTTACAAATGTCATATCTACAGGTCTGACCCTCAGATCCGCTCTGTTCATCTGCTCGGTGCTTCTGTCTGCCTGCATCAAATACAGTGCCGCTGTCATGTGATTCATCATGAACGTACATAAACCAGTCTAATTTAAAGGGTTAGTTCACCCAAAAATGAAAATTAGCCCATAAATTACTCACCCCCCTTCTGAAGGTATCTCATTTATGTTGACTTTTTGTGTGTGAGTTGTTTTCTGAAACAGTGCAGGGGTTCATGGACGTGTGTGTGTGTGTGTTTGGAGAGACAGTGACATCCTTTCGTGATGAATTTGTTGGGTTTGATGGCGGTTTTGATTTTTATAGTGAATGTGAACATACAGTACGGCTCCAATAACTGTTACCAATAAACATCCTCAGTTCAGATGGCTGGTTTTTGCTTGTTTTATAACAATAATAATCAGAATAAAATCTATTGTTATTATGAGTGTTAATGGCCTTTAATAATTTAATAATTTATATTATGTCAATTGTTTATGTAAATATTGAAGTAAAGCTTGCTAATAAATGTGAATAATTTAACAGTTGTCGTTGTGTGTTTACTATAGTTTCATATCCATGTGACTGATCAGTATCTGTTATGTCAGAAGATATATCATTTATAAGATATTTTAAATGTAATACCACCTTGCAATGCATCATATTTGCTGAATGAAATCGAACAGTTTCACACAGGTGCTTATTCCAAAAATAATGAAGTTTTGCTCTAGTACGTCACACTTTCTCATGAAATATGACATTTCTCATATATTATGACATGAAGTTTTGTATCCTGCCACAAAGACATGATTCACATCTTCTTCTGATTACCCATATGCAAATGTAATGTATGTACAGATATTAAATGTCCATATATGAAATATTGTCATAAGAAATAAAAACATACATGAAACCCATTACAAATCAATTTCATATATTCACACATATCTACCTAAATATGTATGTTTATGTATGTGTAATACATTTTTTGGAAATATATGTCATCCTGAAACCCGTCAATACAATAACAGAAAATATAAAAGATAGACACATATTTAAAAAAGAAAACAACAACTAGAAAACACAAACTTGCATATATAAAATATATATAGTTGACACACATGGTTGCTACATATAATAGCATATAAAAATGTTATCATATAGATATTTTATGTACATGCACAAATTTTACTGTGGGGATTTTATTTATGTTATGAACTTATATCTTCATCTACCCAGAGAATGTACTTTTGTGAAAATTATATATCACCTTATAGATATATAACATATATTTAAGGCAAAATCACTCTTGATACTAGGCAATGTACTGTACTGTATGTCATATGTTACATTTCCATATGGGTGCAAGTGTTTGTTCAATTCTCAGCTGATTTTCACATGTATGAATGATTCTGAAGACATTATTTTATGCCTAATCCTGATTGCCATTTTTTCCCCCACTCCTTTGCTGATTGTAAGTTAAATGATGCATTTTGAATATCCCTTTTTTCACATTTGACTGCTTTTGTAATTTTGATCAAATTAGGTAATATTAAGCCTTTTTTTTTGGAAATCAGCAGAATCCCCCCCCTTTTATTGAATATGAAATGTGGTGTAGTTGTCCTGTCTGTTTCAGATACTGGATGATTCCTGTGCTCTTCATTCACTGGCCAATACTGGGAATTTAACTGAGCTCAAAGGAAAAGCGGTTATGATGTCCCTGTATCAGAGAGTGAAAGTGCGGCCCACTTCCTGTAACATATTCCTCTGAGGGGGCGGCGTTAAGGTAGTTTTATCAGTGTGACCCAGCTGGGTTTGATGCTGCAGTCTTAACGCTCCTTCAGACTGATACTGACACACAGACACACTGGTAAGAACTTCACTTTTAAATTCATCTCACATTTAAACAATTGACACAATATATGCATTAGTTCTGTAACTTAAATATGACTTGTTCTTGATTTATTTAGCTGGTAATTAAATATTATTCATCCAAAATTGTTCATCTGTTTCTGCTCACCACCCATTGGGAACCTCAGTGAGCTAAAGGGCTGGTAAACACACGCTTCTATTTAGTGAATAATACGTACTGTTGGTTAAAATGAGATATTTAAATAAAATAAGAACATAAGCTATTTTCTAAGTGTCAAATGTTGAGGAATATAACTTTTTATGTTTAATAAAATAAAATAAAGTATAAAAAATAAAATAGAGCTATATAAAATTTAAAAAAAGCTTTATTGCAAAAACCTAATAAAATAAAATAAAACAAAATAATATAAAATAAATGGAATACTCTGACACTGTGACTGTGACACTATATATACCATTGTGTTTTCATGTACCATTGCATTTATATATATATTAAAAAAAAAACTTACCATTGTGCATGCCAAAAACATGATATTGCATTGGTTTTGCAATATCCAATAACATTTTAGTACTTGTTTGTCAGCATGAATTAATTGTATTTAATTATAAATTAATAGTTTCATTAAATTAAATGTTTTTGTAATTTTGCAATTCAATTTCAACCTAAAAATGTGCATTAGATTTGTAAGTGTTTTTTCCTCTACATTGAGACCATGAAATGTTTGAATCATCCTGGTACTTTATCTTTGTCTTCTCTGCTTCCTTTGCTTCCTCCTGAAATTCCAGATAAGCCTAAACATCGCTGTCTATTCAGTTTAGCACTCCATACATGGAACCAACAAATATTTGAACACTAAAAATATCTGGATGTCACTGCATTAGAACAAAATCCCATTTATTGCACACGTGGTGCACTGATAAATCGAACACAGTAACAGCAGGAACATATGTCAGGATTTTGACAGTGATTTCGTGTCTCTCTGCAGTGTGTGTGTGTGTGTGTGCTGGCATGCGGTGTTTTGCGCTCGTGTTGAAGGTCGTGCTGTCACTGCTGGGCAGTGAGATGACCGTGGCTCAGCTCTCGTGTCCTGAGGTGTGTTCCTGCGCGGCCGGTGTGGTGGACTGCAGTAAACGCGGCCTCACCACAGCCAGCCTGCCCTCCTCCTTCCCTTCACATACCACCGAACTCCACCTGAACGACAACCACCTGACGGCTCTGCCCAACGGCCTGCTGGACTCACTGCCCGCCCTGCGCCTGGCCGCTCTCCACGGCAACCCGTGGTCATGTGACTGCGGCATCCTTTATCTGAGAGGCTGGCTGCTCAAACAGAGAAACAACACTTCCATACGGTGAGTGTCTAGATGAAATATTAAAGATTGTTTTTTTTTATTATTCATTTATGCACCAGGCAGTTTTGAGATTTTGGGTTATTTTGCTTCCATAACAGGTCTTCTTGCAGATTAGTGGAAAGAAAACAACATTTAAAAGTTTATTTTATTACACTTTATCTATTTGCATCTTTAGATTTTAAAGGCACAATATGTAATTTTCGCCGCTAGAGGGCGCGTATTCAAACCGGAAATCAAGGGGTTATGACGTCACTGGCAGGCGACACAATGACACTATGAACACGGTCCGTGTCACTAGTTAAAATTGCTTATTTCTCTGGATTTAAACATTCTTCGAAACATTTGGGATAATGTAAGTACACAAGTCAGCAAAATATATAACACTGTTCTAGTGGTTTTTGGATATTTTAATGAAAAAATCTTACATATTGTGCCTTTAATTACAATACATAGCCTATTTTTAAAGGCCGTTTTCTCAAAATTTGTTTTTCTCCTGCATGACCCAGAAATCTTCTCTTCATCTTCAATTTTCCAGCTTTATTCCCATCTATATTCTCAGTTATTTTATATTCATAATATAAAATAATTCATTTTTTTTCTTCTGTTGGTTAAAAGAAAATAAGACAAAGTTCATATGCTGTTTTCTACCAGTTGTCAAATGTTAAAGAATATAAAAATGCCTTTTATTGAAAATAAAATAAAATGTATTTCTGACTTATGGACTGATAAAAATAGATATACAAAATCCCATCTGTAAAAACATTTAACTCTAATATGTCAGCCTGGGCTATTATAGTTGACTAAAACTAAAATTTAAACCATTAAAAAATGTTACTTGAAATAAAACAAATATAACTAAAAATAAAATTACAAATTAATAAAAAAAAATATATATACAGTAGACCTATTTTAAAAACTTATAAAAATGACAAAAACAAAATAAATTACTAAAACTTCAACTAAAATGGAATCAGAAAATCTAAAAATAAAAACTATAATAATATCTCAATGATACTAAGATGACTGAAGAAAAAAATTGTGACCCTGCATTCAATGTTGAGATTTCTGTTATGGAAATGTATGCAAATGTGTGCATTTTTTAATTAGATAATATATAATTTGCATATTCAAACATAACATTTCAGAAAAATTTTACAAAACTGAATGTCTTCATGTACTGTGACTACTTAACTGGGGAAGCATGGTGATAGCTGTTAGTTATTAATGATTTTTCACAGTTGTAAATAAAGATTATTGGAGTATGTTCAACAAGAAGAAAATACTATTTCAGTCTTCAAAATTTCACAATATAGTTCCATATCCATATAATTGATCAGCATCTGTTCAGTCATGATGTCAGAAGGTAGGCCTATATATTTTATGAGGTATTTTAAATATACCATAGCCCTGCATCGTATTTGTTGTTTCTTACAAATTTTTAGTATGATTGTTTAGTTCAGTGTGTTACTTGCCATTTCTATGTAAGTAACTGAGAGATTTCGGAGTTAAAATTGTTCCTACACTAATTGCCTTGCCTTAAAGGGGTGGTTCACTGTTTTTTTTCTAGGCTTGATTGTGATTATGGGGTGCAGTCTAACATGTTTTAATGCTTTGTTTTTTTAAAAACGCATTATTTTTCACATAATTTACCTTTATTCCACACCGCTCTGTCCCTTCTCTGAGAAACGGGCTGATCTTTTCCTGTTTTTATGAAGCCCCTCCCTCAGAAATAGGCGATGGGCTCTGATTGGTTAGCTGGCCCAGTGTGTTGTGATTGGCTAAACCGCCTCTAGTGCGCGTCTAAAGGTCCAGAACTGAGCTGATGATCTGAATGAGAGAGAGAGGCTGAGCAGGGGATGCGAGGAACAGTATTGAGAACCGCTGCTTTAGAACATTGATTTTTGAAACTTGTGAATCCATTAGAATCGTTAGAAGACAGAATCGAGATTCATATATGAATAGATTTTCACGTGCAGCTCTAGTTTTCTCTTCCTCTTCTCTAAAGCAGTGCAGCATGGCCTTGCCCCCTTTGCTGCCTTTTCCCGAGGGCGGGGTTTATCAGGGTTTGTGATGTCACAAACCCGGGAAGTAACTCGCTGTAGTCCCTACCAGACATTTTAAAAGACGACATCTCCGTTTGCATTGAACTTTCAGCTTCGTAACTTTGCAGATATTGTTTATGCTCAAACAGCAACATTACACACTAACTAACGTTAAAAAAGTGAAATCGCAATCAACCACCCCTTTAATATCTCACTTGTTAGACAGCAATACAATTAAAGTCTCCTGCTTCTCAGATGTTCATCCTGAGAAAACACCTGAAAAGCTTGTTTCATTTACGCAAGGAACTTTAGAAACATCCGAAACAAAGTTGATACTTAAATTAAAATTTGTGTGTGTTGTTTTTTTTTTTAGGAACGTCAGCTGCAGTTCTCCTGCTCACCTGCGGGGGCGCCTGCTCACGTATCTGTCCGAGCAGGAGCTGCTGGATTCCTGTCGTTATTGGCTGTGTAATCTGGCTCTGGCCTCTCAGATCAGCCTCTTCATCTTCATCACCGTGCAGGTGCTCCTGCTGGCCTCTGTCATCCTCTTCCTCCGGCGGTTTGAGCTGCTCACCCGGGAGGCGAGGCGCACGGCCGCGGAGAGCTTCACGGCGGAGGATGAATACGCCATGTTAAAAGACAGGAGCTTGTAGGACGAGACGGTCTCAAACCAGACCAAAAGGAACTGTGTTCATTTCATTGTAATAATTTTGCACAGTTCATTTTTATTTGTCATATAAAATAAAATTTCCCTTTTATATATATCTCCTTTTTAATTGCTTTTTTGTGTGTGCATACAGTGAAGCAAAAAAACTGCTTAACTTAGTTTAGACAACCAAATATGTACTGTAAAAATAAAGAATAAATCCCTTTTTTTTAATGAATATTAAAAAACGTGAACACATCACTCCATCCTTGGTCTCTCTACACTGGCTTCCTGTACAGTAGCCTAGCGTATATGATTGATTTTAAGCTTCTTTTATAGTGTATAAATCTTTGCATGGCCTTGCACCGGCTTATTTATCAGATCTGCTAATTGAGTAGCAGACTGGAAGAACACTGAGATCAACAACTCAAAAAAATTTTTTTTTTTTTGCTTTATTAATTCAATGCCACAAGAACATGAGGTGTTACATATTCACATTATCAAATTAACATTATTAGCTGCCAGAGAAAAAAAAAGAAAGAAAATGACATAAAGTTCAATGCTTTCACTTTCAGAGCATTACATGTTTTCAATGCTTTTTTGTTTTTTGTTTGTTCTAAGAGATTTACATATAATTTAAAGTCATTTGTAAAATGTGCAAAATTTGGTTTACATTGAGCCCACTTCTTCTAACAACTCAAAATGTACTTTTCGTACGATTAGTAGCACCAAGACTTTGGAATAGCTTACCCTTACATGACGCTGACTCTGTACCTACATGTTTTTAAAATACAGATTAAGACACACTTGTTTGTCATGGCGTATTATTCTTGTTGATAATAATAATAATAATAATAAACAATAATAATTATTATTGTTGTTGTTGTTTTGTATTGTTATTATTACTATCATAGGTGATGTTTTTAATTATTTCTTATTCTGTTTTTATACAGAGATGATGTAAAGCGCATTGGTCAACATGTGTTGTTTCAATAGTGCTATATAAATAAAATTGACATTTCTTTTGTACTTTCTTTGTAAAAATTACACTCTTGTAAACTTGATCCATTGGTCACAATGAATTAAACAATTTCGGTGCATATTTACAGGTGCATGTGTATGCTGTGTTCGATTATATCCTTTTTTTATAGCTTCAATGACATATTTTAAGGTTGCAAAAACAAAGCGCCATATTATTGTTGTTGTTGCTATACTTTACAAATTATAATGTTTGTTTCAAATAATATAAAACACAAAATATAGCGTAATATAATATAAAAGGCATATATTAATATTAATAATAATACATTTGAAATGTTTCTCAGTGAAAGTTTGTTATTCACTATTATATCCATTTCTTTTTTTATATAGCTTCAATAACATTTGGTTTTTTTAAGTTTTTTTAAGGTTGCAAAAACAAAGCGCATATTTCATGATCATGATCATCATTATTATTAGTATGATTATTGTTGTTGTTATTGTTATACTTTACAAATGTTTTAAAATAATATAAAATATAGCAGGATATAATATATAATATAATAAGGCACTTATTAATATTAATAATAATACATTTGAAATGTTTCTCTTATTGAAAGTTATAATTCGCGATACGTGTCTGTGGTTTATACCTGATCTCGGATCAGTTTTATCAATTTTTAGACATTTTTAAAGATACATTTGTGCCTGTTTAGACAAGCCATACTCATTAAAAACATATTATACAAACACTTCATATTTAATGGTATTTGATTATTTTAATTGCATTTACTGTATTATACTTTGCATGTTTTGGCCTGAGTTTTGGCACAAACGATGCAAAAGCAACAGCACTTCCGGCGCACCAGTGTCCGGATTCGCTCGCTCGAAACATCAATCCCGGAACCTTTTATCGCTGCTGAAGCGCATCGGTCTCATTTAAAGGTTGCATAACATCACCACAGGATCAACACGTGAGTCTTTTCGAATATCGAGACATTTAGATGAATTGGTTACAATGATTTTTTATGCGGATAAAGGACGTAGCGATCCTATTAATGTAGTCAATGTTTGATAACGTAGAAGCTTTCCAGCGTCAGTGATTTAGTGGTTTTTAATGAATGTTAATCTGTTAGCTGATCTCGAGCAGCGTAAACACTGACATCCATCAGCACACGTGAGCAGATATAAGATGATCTCTCTATCTCACATTATAACACAGAACATACTCGAATTAGCCACAATGAGTGGTAAAAGATGTGTTGGTCAGCAGTAGCTGGGGAGAAAATCACGAAAACATGTCCAGCCATATATCCTCCTGAGAACCAGAATTTTTGTTTTTTTGTGAATTTTGTTTTATTTTATTATTATTACTTATTTTTTAGAAGAACATAAAAAAATATATACTGTATTCATATTTTATTCTATGTCCATTGTAGAGGACGCCAGGAGAAGTTATTAAAAATAAATAAATAAAAAATAGACATGAAAAGGCATGTATACTGTATAGGCCAAAACAGTGGGGGTTTTTTCATTCACCAATCCGTTTTTAGGTTTCTGGCTATTTTTAGCCAAACTTTGCACAAAGATGATTCTCAACTATGTTATGAAAGATATAACAGGATGATTTAATATACTCTTTTAATGCAATATGTGCGTTAATTGTCCATACATTGGTATTCCCATTCTATACAATGTATCTATAGATTGCATCTAATTTGAATATTAATGTGTTCTTGGGGCAAACCATAATGGAAAAAAAGAAGTGTAATAATGGGAGTAATAACTTGGCAACATTTTCATACGAATATCTCATATTTCATAGG